TTTCTCGCATCTTCGTCCACTATCTCGCTTCGTCCATTCTCTTCGCCTGTCCCGCGAATCCATCCTTCCCGCCTACCTCTCGCCCCTCTCTTTCCTTTCTCGCGGCCAAAGGACGATACTGTGATCCTGCGAAGGGGGGGGGGAAAAGTGTGATTCGGTGTTTCGGCAAAGATCGGCCGTTTCCGCCGGTACGTACCGGTGGTGCGCAATAGAATCGTGCCGTGTTTCCGCGAGTGTATTACGGTGATCGGCCCTCTGGAAGGGGCATCGGCGAAAGGATCGGCTGGCGGAAAGTCGGTGAGTGGCGCGCTTCCACCAACACGCGTTCGCTTCCACGCTTCTTCCTTGTTTACTTTGAACCACCTGCGCGACGGGGGTGGTGGCGAGGGGTTGGCCGCTTCCATGCGAAATCACAGGAGTAAAACTCTCAATGATAAACTCTCGGTGTGAAATTCAAAGTGTTGAGAAATCAGTGTTGAAATCGGAGTGAGATTTGCTAATTTTAGAATTGGAATTAAAAAATGGTTTAAAAAAAAACCGCTTTAAAAGTCGCGGTTCTTGATCTTTGTCAAAGGTCAAGGATGTGTGGTGTGCATTTTGCAGGCTATTATTATTTTTGGTTTTTTTGGAGGGGAGGGAAGGGGAAGGAAATTAACAGTCGATTGTAACGAATGAAGAGAGAGAGAGAGAGAGAGAGAGAAAGAGAGAGAGACAGAGTTACAATTAATATAGGATAGAATTTTAAAAAAATTAATTACAATTGATCGAGTATTGAAAAAAATTGCTTTTTGAATGAAGTCGCTGTAAAATTATTGTGAAATCACGTGAATGTTGAGATCACTCGAGTGCTTTCCCTTTGAGCAGCCAACCCCTCAGATAAAGATCTTTGTAGAATAAACTGTAATTTATTATAGAGCTTTCTTGCACGGTTAATATTATTAGAGACGTTTTACGTGTTTTACGAATAATAATAAATTCTTGATAATTTAGAAATCGATATTAAATTTTAAATTTCAGATTAATGATTAATAGTGGATTAATAATAAGAATGATAATAATAAGTGATGGTAATAAATTTGTTTGGATAACTGTATAAAATTTAACAACAAGACAAGCAACAATAATTTTTACTAACTATTAGTTTATTGATTGTTTGATTTCACACGTAAAAATATTCAACAGAATTTATTACAATTTCTTAATTTATCATTAGATTACTCAATTTCCATGCAAGATATGATCTTCTCGAGAATTGCTTAATCATATTCGTTTAATTCCTACTTGTTTATAGGAAAATTCGAGATAAAATAGTGGCAATAGTAAGAATCGGATTTGGAATTTTTATAGTTTAACGTTTCAACTTTCGATTCGATTTTTATCAATTATTTCTCCTTATCATAGCAAATTATAAAATACAAAATATAAAAGTGTTTGAAATTTTGTGATCGAAACTATATTATTACGATGCCAATGGCATAGTTGGCCATTTAGTTGATGCAACTTGTGTTAAATATTTCTGTTTTCATTATTATTGGACATACGATCGAATTAGATTACTTAAATTGTCTTGAAAGAGGGAATCTAATTACCAGTATATCCTATATCTATTCTATTACATCTAATTATAATCATTTTGATCATTGATTTTGCATATTGTGTTAGTCAAAATTGTCCCTGTTGATGATTCAATAATTGGATTCGAATAATTTTACATTTTTAACCAATACAACATGATCATTATCTTCTTCTTCTTCTTCTAATAAATGTCTGTTATAAAATACGAAAAAAATCATTATCATATATTATTTATATTTCCTTTCATTAATTATAACCTCCATTAAACGTTCTTTTATTTACCACCAGAGACAATTTCCAGAGACAAGTATTCCATAGAATATCGAATCCCTTTATCTTTATTTTATTCAATAAATCAACCGTATTTAAATCTTTTTTATCGACCATTCAAAAAAGAAAAAATCCCAAATAAATATTCCAAAAATATTCATCTCGAATATTTTAACTCCCGTCCCACATATAACGGAAAAATATGTCACGTTGTGTTTTTACCAGGAGGAAGAACTATAAATAGTTAGCACGAGAAACACGCTCGTGATCAAATCTATGTATACTTTCGCGAGTATTATTATATATGTTACGCAATAATTATCCTCCTGGTGCATCGCCGACGATTATTGTTGAACTTATCGAGAGCATCGAATAAAATTTACGTATTTACGCTTTAAAAAATATCATCGACACCGTTATTCAACATTCGTACGGACCGATCCGTAAAATTTCCCAAATAAAGTTACGCGAAATATATTTCTCTTAAATTATTATTTATTACACCAAAAAAAAAAAAAAATGAAAGAAAAATAGTTGGAACGAAAAAACTTTTTCAAACTTTTTGACTTTATCAGATTCGTTTTCTTTCTTTATTAAAAAAAAAAAAAAAAAA